CCACCACTTCCATCACCTCCAACACATCCAACACCTCCACCACTTCCATCACCTCCACCACCCTCACCCTTTCATCACCTCCCATCACCTCCATCCACTTCCATCACCTCCCATCTAAACACCTCCCCACTAACCATCCCCACCTCCACCAACCTCCACCACCTTCCAACATACACCTCCATCATCACCCTCCACCACTTCCATCACTCCTCCACACTCCCTTCCCTCCACCTCCACCACCTCCATCACCCCCCCACCACTATCCATCACCTCCACCACCTCCACCACTTCCATCACCTCCACCATCCCCTCCACCACTTCCATCCCCCCCAACACCTCCACCACCTCCATCACCTCACCACACTCCATCACCTCCCCCCCCCTCCATCACCCCCACACCACCCCCCCATCATCCCACCACCCCATCACCTCCCTCCACCCCCCCCCCCCCCCCCCCCCCCCCATCCCCCCCCCCCCCCCACCCCCCCCATCACCCCCCACCACCCCACCACTTCCATCACCCCCTCCCCCCCTCCTCCCACCTCCACCACTTCCATCATCTCCACCACCCCATCACCTCCACCACTTCCAACCCTCCATCACCCCCACCACTTCCATCACCCTCCACCACCTCCATCACCCTCCCCCATCACCACCACCATTCCTCACCTCCACCACTTCCATCACCTCCCCCTCACCCTCCACCCCCTTCCCCCACCTCCATCACCTCCACCACCTCCACCACTTCCATTACCTCACCTTCCACACACCTCCACCACTTCCATCACCCCCTCCACCACCTCCACCATATTATCTGACCACACCCCCTCTCACCTGTCACTGTACCTGTAATATCTGACCACCACACCTCCTCTCACCTGTCACTGTACCTGTAATATCTGACCACACCCCTCTCACCTGTCACTGTACCTGTAATATCTGACCCACACCCCTCTCACCTGTCACTGTTCCTGTAATATCTGACCACACCCCCTCTCACCTGTCACTGTACCTGTAATATCTGACCACACCCCTCTCACCTGTCACTGTACCTGTAATATCTGACCACACCCCCCTCTCACCTGTCACTGTACCTGTAATATCTGACCACACCCCTCACACTGTACCTGTAATATCTGACCACACACCCCTCTCACCTGTCACTGTACCTGTAATATCTGACCACACACCCCTCTCACCTGTCACTGTACCTGTAATATCAGACCACACCCCTCTCACTGTACCTGTAATATCTGACCACCACCCCCTCTCACCTGTCATTGTACCTGTAATATCTGACCACACCCCTCTCACTGTACCTGTAATATCTGACCACACCCCTCTCACTGTACCTGTCACTGTACCTGTAATATCAGACCACACCCCTCTCACCTGTCACTGTACCTGTAATATCTGACCACACCCCTCCCACCTGTCATTGTACCTGTAATATCTGACCACACCCCTCTCACTGTACCTGTAATATCTGACACACCCCTCTCACCTGTCACTGTACCTGTAATATCTGACCACACCCCTCTCACCTGTCACTGTACCTGTAATATCTGACCACACCCCTCTCACCTGTCACTGTACTTGTAATATCTGACCACACCCCTCTCACCTGTCACTGTACCTGTAATATCTGACCACACCCCCTCTCACTGTACCTGTAATATCTGACCACACCCCTCTCACCTGTCACTGTACCTGTAATATCTGACCACACCCCTCTCACCTGTCACGGTACCTGTAATATCTGACCACACCCCTCTCACCTGTCACTGTACCTGTAATATCTGACCACACCCCCTCTCACTGTACCTGTATAATATCTGACCACACCCCTCTCACTTGTCACTGTACCTGTAATATCTGACCACACCCCCTCACACTGTACCTGTAATATCTGACCACACCCCCCTCACCTGTCACTGTACCTGTAATATCTGACCACACCCCTCTCACTGTACCTGTAATATATGACCACACCCCTCTCACCTGTCACTGTACTTGTAATATATGACCACACCCCTCTCACCTGTCACTGTACTTGTAATATATGACCACACCCCTCTCACCTGTCACTACCTGTAATATGACCACACCCCTCTCACCTGTCACTGTACCTGTAATATCTGACCACACCCCTCTCATCTGTCACTGTACCTGTAATATCTGACCACACCCCTCTCACTGTCTGTCACTGTACCTGTAATATATGACCACACCCCTCTCACCTGTCACTGTACCTGTAATATCTGACCACACCCCTCTCACCTGTCACTGTACCTGTAATATCTGACCACTAACCCCACACCCCTCTCACTGTCCTGTAATATCTGACCACACCACACCCCCTGTCACTGTACCTGTAATATCTGACCACACCCCTCTCACCTGTCACTGTACCTGTAATATCTGACCACACCCCCTCTCACCTGCCACTGTACCTGTAATATCTGACCACACCCCCTCTCACCTGTCACTGTACCTGTAATATCTGACCACACCCCTCTCACCTGTCACTGTACCTGTAATATCAGACCACACCCCTCTCACCTGTCACTGTACCTGTAATATCTGACCACACCCCTCTCACCTGTCACTGTACTTGTAATATCTGACCACACCCCTCTCACCTGTCACTGTACTTGTAATATCTGACCACACCCCCTCTCACCTGTCACTGTACTTGTAATATCTGACCACACCCCTCTCACCTGTCACTGTACCTGTAATATCTGACCACACCCCTCTCACCTGTCACTGTACTTGTAATATCTGACCACACCCCTCTCACCTGTCACTGTACCTGTAATATCTGACCACACCCCCTGACCTGTCACTGTACCTGTAATATCTGACCACACCCCTCTCACCTGTCACTGTACCTGTAATATCTGACCACACCCCCCTCTCACTGTACCTGTAATATCTGACACACCCCTCTCACCTGTCACTGTACCTGTAATATCTGACCACACCCCTCATCACTGTACCTGTAATATCTGACCACACCCCCCTCACCTGTCACTACCTGTAATATCTGACCACACCCCTCTCACTGTACTGTACTGTAATATATGACCACACCCCTCTCACCTGTCACTGTACTTGTAATATATGACCACACCCCTCTCACCTGTCACTGTACTTGTAATATCTGACCACACCCCTCTCACCTGTCACTACCTGTAATATCTGACCACACCCCTCTCACCTGTCACTGTACCTGTAATATCAGACCACACCCCTCTCATCTGTCATTGTACCTGTAATATCTGACCACACCCCCTCTCACTGTACCTGTAATATATGACCACACCCCTCTCACTTGTCACTGTACCTGTAATATCTGACCACACCCCTATCACCTGTCACTGTACCTGTAATATCTGACCACACCCCTCTCATCTGTCATTGTACCTGCAATATCTGACCACACCCCTCTCACTGTACTTGTAATATATGACCACACCTCTCTCACCTGTCACTGTACCTGTAATATCTGACCACACCCCTCTCACCTGCCACTGTACCTGTAATATCTGACCACACCCCTCTCACCTGTCACTGTACCTGTAATATCTGACCACACCCCTCTCACCTGTCACTGTACCTGTAATATCAGACCAGACCACACCCCTCTCACCTGTCACTGTACCTGTAATATCTGACCACACCCCTCTCACCTGTCACTGTACCTGTAATATCTGACCACACCCCTCTCACCTGTCACTGTACTTGTAATATCTGCACACCCCCTCTCACCTGTCACTGTACTTGTAATATCTGACCACACCCCTCTCACCTGTCACTGTACCTGTAATATTTGATCACACCCCTCTTACCTGTCACTGTACTTGTAATATCTGACCCACACCCCTCTCACCTGTCACTGTACCTGTAATATTTGATCACACCCCTCTTACCTGTCACTGTACTTGTAATATCTGACCACACCCCCTCTCACCTGTCACTGTACCTGTAATATTTGATCACACCCCTCTTACCTGTCACTGTACTTGTAATATCTGACCACACCCCTCTCACCTGTCACTGTACTTGTAATATCTGACCACACCCCTCTCACCTGTCACTGTACTTGTAATATCTGACACACACCCCTCTCATCTGTCACTGTACCTGTAATATCTGACCACACCCCTCTCACCGTTCCTGTAATATCTGACCACACCCCTCTCACCTCTCACTGTATCTGTAATATCTGACCACACCCCTCTCACTGTACTTGTAATATCTGACCACACCCCTCTCACCTGTCACTACCTGTAATATCTGACCACACCCCCTCTCACCTGCACTGTACCTGTAATATCTGACCACACCCCCTCTCACCTGTGTTTGGTAAACCTTAAACCTGTCAGTATTATAATGAATTTCACAAGTAAAGTGCAAAGCATTACACATCTCCCCAGTACTATGGGGCCCTCAGGAAGGTCCAATATGCAAACTTCAGTACTTTCTAATGGTTTTGGAGAGATCACATGACCTTTAATTTCTTCCAATCGGCCAATCAAGCCTCTCCTCACAGTGATGGGCCCATAGTAGGCTGTATCAGAGGGGATGTGACAATTCATTCTGAGATTTGCATAGTAGAGTACCCCAGGCTCAGGGCCCCAGGGGCCTTGGTGGACATCTCAGCATTTGGTTCTGCATCTTAGACTGGGGAGGAGTCTAGAGCCATTATAACACTGACAGGTGACAGTTACTTCGGGATTGACAGTTCTGTAACCTCAACAGGAAGTAGGAAAATATTCATTATCAGGAAGTATAGAGATAGGAGAAGATTCATTCCAGAGAAGCCAGACAGGACAGGGTGATAGACCTCCGTGTTGTGTGTACAGTCCTGTGCTAGGCAAAGACACCTTCACGTCTTTAGGGCCCAAACTGTGTGGCCTGCATGGCGGCAGAAAGCCAGTGTAGCATGTGGACAGGGCAGCCAGTGACCAAAAGGAGCCACACGTGGTGCTTACCTCCTCGGTTCCAGAGCCAAAGATCAAGAGGTCGAAGGGTATGGCGGCCACCATGTCGATGAGGAACCAGCCTTTGAAGTAATGGATGGCGATTTTGCCTGGGTGGCTGACCACTTCTTCGTTGGAGTTGACGTAGGTGGTGCGGAAGTTAATGAGGATGTCGATGATGAACATGATGTCCACGATAAGGTCCACCACGCTCAGTGGGTTGCAGGAATAGCTGCAGTTTTCATTGGATGACTCTTCCTGGTCGTTCAGAAGGAAGGCAGCCGAGTAAGGGGTGAAGATGGCCGTGTAGATGACCAGCAGGAGGATCAGCCAGTCCCAGACGGCTTTAAAGGGACTGTAGTGGAGGATGGTCCATTTATGGATACGAGGAGCTTGCAGTTTGTATTCGGGAAGGACGTCTGCTCCCAGTGACAGGACCTGCAGGAGAAGAAGGAGGCAGATTGTTAGCGTCACGTACTGGTGGAGCTAGATATGAAACACTTTGTCCACGTGAAGGATAAACCACAACACCCTTCACGTGGCAAATGATTTCGCTTCTTAGTACAAAGCTGATTGGACACAACTGTGTTATGATGTCATCTGTACATAAAGTGAGAGAAGTAGTAAGGTTCCAAAACCGACCATTTCATCCCAACGCTATGCTGCCATCTGTTCAGGCCTTGGATTATAGGAGACAAACCCAGCTCCCCACCCAATGGCGTCAACTGGTGACGTAGGGCAACTGTGTCAACCACAAGGCCTGCAGGCCATCTTATTTGGCCCTTGCACCTCTCCTGCAGCTGCGGCACCCCCCTTGTCAGAGAGAAGGACGTAACTCCTCCTACAGATCCTGTGCCTCTCTGTGCACCCGCAGCACCCCCTCATCTCCAACTCCCATGGCCTCAGCATTCGGAAGCCTCCAGCCCTCCTCTGGTCCTCCTTGAGACCCTGCACTTTCCACTTCCCAGCTATGCCCTCAGCCTCTTCCCAACAGCGGCACAAGGTAAGGGGGGGGCACTGTGATGGAAGGGAAGGTGGAGGAGCTCTTGAATTCTGATGGTGGGAGAGGTATTGACATCTAACGGGTCTGGGGCAGTACAACCAGCCCCTAGAGCTGGACAACTAGTCTTGCAGATACAACCAGCCCCATAGAGCTCTGGACATCTAGTCTCGCAGATACAACCAGCCCCATAGAGCTCTGGACATCTAGTCTGGACATCTAGCTCTGGCATCTAGCAGATACAACCAGCCCCATAGAGCTCTGGACATCTAGTCTCGCAGAATAGAGCTCTGGACATCTAGTCTCGCAGATACAACCAGCCCCATAGAGCTCTGGACATCTAGTCTCGCAGATACAGCCAGCCCCATAGAGCTCTGGACATCTAGTCTCGCAGATACAAACCAGCCCCAGCTCTGGACATCTAGTCTCGCAGATACAACCAGCCCCATAGAGCTCTGGACATCTAGTCTCGCAGATACAACCAGCCCCATAGAGCTCTGGACATCTAGTCTCGCAGCAGATACAACCAGCCCCATAGAGCTCTGGACACATCTAGTCTCGCAGATACAACCAGCCCCATAGAGCTCTGGACATCTAGTCTCGCAGATACAACCAGCCCCATAGAGCTCTGGACATCTAGTCTCGCAGATACAACCAGCCCCATAGAGCTCTGGACATCTAGTCTCGCAGATACAACCAGCCCCATACAACCACATCTAGTCCCATAGAGCTCTGGACATCTAGTCTAGATCTCGCAGATACAAGTCTCCAGCCCCATAGAGCTCTGGACATCTAGTCTCGCAGATACAACCAGCCCCATAGAGCTCTGGACATCTAGTCTCGCAGATACAACCAGCCCCATAGAGCTCTGGACATCTAGTCTCGCAGATACAACCAACCAGCCCCATAGAGCTCTGGACATCTAGTCTCAGATACAACCGCAGATACAACCACCAGCCCCATAGAGCTCTGGACATCTAGTCTCGCAGATACAACCAGCCCCATAGAGCTCTGGACATCTAGTCAACCGCAGATACAACCAGCCCCATAGAGCTCTGGACATCTAGTCTCGCAGATACAACCAGCCCCATAGAGCTCTGGACATCTAGTCTCGCAGATACAAGCCAGCCCCATAGAGCTCTGGACATCTAGTCTCGCAGATACAACCAGCCCCATAGAGCTCCATCTAGTCTCGCAGATAGCCAGCCCCATAGAGCTCTGGACATCTAGTCTCGCAGATACAACCAGCCCCATAGAGCTCTGGACATCTAGTCTCTCGCAGATACAACCAGTCTCGCAGATACAGCCAGCCCCCATAGAGCTCTGGACATCTAGTCTCGCAGATACAGAGCTCTGGACATCTAGTCTCGCAGATACAACCAGCCCCATAGAGCTCTGGACATCTAGTCTCTCGCAGATACAACCAGCCCCATAGAGCTCTGGACATCTAGTCTCGCAGATACAACCAGCCCCATAGAGCTCTGGACATCTAGTCTCTCGCAGATCGCAGATACAACCAGCCCCATAGAGCTCTGGACATCTAGTCTCGCAGATACAACCAGCCCATAGAGCTCTGGACACATCTAGAGGGATCTACAGATACAACCAGCCCTTGAGGGCAACCATAATGCTGATGCAGCGATGACGTTGAGTTTGACACCCCTGATGTCAGGTAATGAATGAGGAGGGAGGTGCCTAGGTGGGAGGAGGAAGAGAGCTCACAGTGGAAGCCATCAATGCAGAGAAGTGCACCAAGGACCACGGCACCAATTGTGTAGCTCCTACAGACCTCTGGTGATTGGTACCCGATACAAAGCTGAAGATCTAACGAACAATATCTAGGAAGTAGAGATGAACAAACTTCTAAAGGTTTATCCATTTTGGTTGGAAACAACTTTTAAAACATTTGTAAACCTCAAAAAGTTGTAATTTGCAAAAAAAAAAAATGTGTACTACAGACAGTACTGGGACAGGGTTGGCCAGTGGCCAGGGCAAGGATCCGGAATTGTACCCCCTTCCCCCATTGTCAATACAGTACATGCCATAGAAAGAGTGTGCTACCCTGCATCTGTTCTTTGCCCCCTTGCTTCTCTGCACCCAGGGCAGCTGCCCCTCTTGCCCACCCCTTGTTCCAGCCCTGACTACAGAGCAGAAATATGGTTCAAAGTCCTGCCTGTGAAGGTTCTCCATAATCCAGGTCATGGTCATGCTAGCCAGGGGCGGAATGACAACTCATGGGACCCCCGGGCAATAGGGGATCATGGGGCCCCTGTGTCCTCGCCCACACCCAAAAAAGCCTATGAAAAAGCCAATGAAAGGTACCAGGGTCATCTCATGGGGCCCCCTACTGACCCCGGGCCCTCGGGCAGTGCCCGAGTGCTCGAATGGTCAGTCCACCCCTGATACCAGCAGTAGTTACATTGAACTGGACCTGTTCGAACATTTTGAGGACGTTCCATAGCTTCTCCAAGCTGCTTCTCCAGTCCTGGACAATATTGGGAAGATACTCCAACATTTATATCCACGTGGGCAGCACCAGCATCAACCTAATCACCAACGAACGTGTCAAGGCAGATGGTTCACAAGAGGCACGAAACAGTCCATCTACGTCAAAGTGGAAAAACCATCATTGAACGGGGGAGTGGGGGCCTTCAGCACCATCTGTTTTCCACATATAATGTGGTTTTATCATCTCTACAGCGGCTGTCTGACAACACTTCACACACTTAGTCATTTGAATGGAAGGATTAACATCCACGGATGGGATTATGGAGCTATAACAGTGTGGTAACACAGCTTTCACACCTCCCATCCTGGACTTGGGCAATCAACATCTGCCTTGACACATCCCATGGTGATTGGATGAAGGATGTCTACAGTGGGGATCGAAAGTTTGGGCACCCCAGCTAAAAATGTGTATTAATGTGCATAAAGAAGCCAAGGAAAGATGGAAAAATCTCCAAAAGGCATCAAATTACAGATTAGACATTCTTATAATATGTCAACAAAAGTTAGATTTTATTTCCATCATTTACACTTTCAAAATAACAGAAAACAAAAAAATGGCGTCTGCAAAAGTTTGGGCCCCCTGCAGAATTTATAGCATGCACTGCCCCCTTTGCCAAGCTGAGACCTGCCAGTGTCATGGATTGTTCTCAATCATCGTCTGGGAAGACCAGGTGATGTCAATCTCAAAGGTTTTAAATGCCCCGACTCATCTGACCTTGCCCCAACAATCAGCACCATGGGTTCTTCTAAGCAGTGGTCTAGAAAACTGAAACTGAAAATAGTTGACGCTCACAAAGCTGGAGAAGGCTATAAGAAGATAGCAAAGCGTTTTCAGATGTCAATATCCTCTGTTCGGAATGTCATTAAGAAATGGCAGTCATCAGGAACAGTGGAAGTTAAAGCAAGATCTGGAAGACCAAGAAAAATATCAGACAGAACAGCTCGCAGGATTGTGAGAAAAACAATTCAAAACCCACGTTTGACGGCACGATCCCTCCAGAAAGATCTGGCAGACACTGGAGTTGTGGTCACTATTCCACTATAAAGAGATACTTGTACAAATATGGTCTTCATGGAAGAGTCATCAGAAGAAAACCTCTTCTACGTCCTCACCACAAAAATCATCGTTTGAACTTTGCAAATGAACATATAGACAAGCCTGATGCATTTTGGAAACAAGTTCTGTGGACCGATGAGGTTAAAATTGAACTTTTTGGCCGGAATGAGCAAAGGTACGTTTGGAGAAGAAGGGGCACAGAATTGAATGAAAAGAACCTCTGTCCAACTGTGAAGCATGGGGTTGGATCAATCATGCTTTGGGGTTGTGTTGCAGCCAGTGGCACAGGGAACATCTCACGAGTAGAAGGAAAAATGGATTCAATATAATTTCAGCAAATTTTGGATGGTAACTTGATGCCATGTGTGAAAAAGCTGAAGTTAAAGAGAGGATGGCTTCTACAAATGGATAATGATCCTAAACACACCTGGAAATCCACGGGGGATTACATCAAGAGGTGTAAACTGAAGGTTTTGCCATGGCCTTCACAATCTCCTGACCTCAACATCATTGAAAATCTATGGATAGACCTTAAAAGAGCCGTGCGTGACAGACAGCCCAGAAATCTCAAAGAACTGGAAGACTTTTGTAAGGAAGAATGGGCAAAGATACCTCAAACAAGAACTGAAAGACTCTTGGCTGGCTACAAAAAGCGTTTACAAGCCGTGATACTTGCCAAAGGGGGCAGTACAAGATATTAACTCTGCAGGGGGCCCAAACTTTTGCAGACGCCATTTTTTTGTTTTCTGTTATTTTGAAAGTGTAAATGATGGAAATAAAATCTAACTTTTGTTGACATATTATAAGAATGTCTAATCT